TCCGCTCCATCGTAACTTTTCCCTTCTTTCCTCTGCTTCCCTTTCCTTTTCTCGCTGTTCTGCTTCCATTCGCAATTTCTCTCTTTCACCTGCTTCCGCTTCCAGCCGAAACTTTTCCTTTATCTCCATTTTCCTCACCTCTGCTTCTATTTCCATTTTTGCCTTTCTCTCTTCCCTCGCCGCTTGTCTCTCAGCTCGCTGAGAACTCAGTTGCTCCAAAATAAATTTCCTTTTGTCTTCTCCAGTCATTCCCAGTTCATCCGCCCACTCCATCAACTCTTGTTTCGACATATCTTTTATCTCGCTGGCCATGTTGTCTTCTATATGTCTTCACTGTTCCCGGACGAGCCCCCAGTTGTCACACGCAACGCAATATTACCGTAATTGGTATAGTACAGGTGTGATGGTTCAAATACCAAAATGGCAACAGTAACAAAAAGACTTCCCTGGCGGCAATGATAAAATACGAACAAGGAGCCAACAGATGAGGTTTCAACTGGTACTGGTATTATTATACTCTGAAAACATCAAGTACAATAACGCGGTAAAACTCCACTACTACAATAACTAGATACTTAAACTCCAATACAATTCAACGAGATCTCCGAACTGATCTCAGTGCTGAACAACTCCCCTATATATACCCACACTGTCTATAAATAGACCATTACATCAGCATACATAATGAGTCTGGAACTTACTACAAATTCCTAGAAAGTTCCATTACCTTCTACAGTGCCCTATTACCTATTCAACCAACTTCTAAAAATTCCACCCAGACACAGTACGGTTCTAGAACATTCTCAGTCACACGGAAGTGGTAAACAAGTCGTATGCGACATATATACAAAAAGCGTGGGTCACCTTACTTAAATTGCAAAAGCCCTACTTACGAACTGGACATTTTGCAGATATGACGTTCACAGCTTTTGAAATGAGATCATGCAAAACGTTAGAATTTTCGGACAAATTCTGATTTACAGATTTCCGGTGGACCAGTCAAAAATCAAAAAAAAAAATGGATCTCACACACAATACGGGACCCACTAAGATTTAAATAATATAACATATTTATTGAAGAGATCGAAGAAAACCCAATAGTAAATACGAGGCGAAAATCAAACAAGCAAATTTGCATCAGACTTTTGATATCGAACTGAGGTCGTTAATTATATACCATATACATATATACAGCGCTCTAAAGCACCATCGTAGTAAAACAATACATGCATTGTTCCCACGGTCGTATCGTATGTCAATAACAAATATAGTCGAAATACACCTCAACGAACACTTAAAAATGCCGAATTAAATGGCACCCTCATTTCATTGAACGTTTCACTCCAAGATTTTTATTTGTTTCTATACGACTTTTGACTAAAGATCTAAAGATGGGTATCTTATTTCAAGCTTAAAAACTTGAATAACCAGTCTAGTATTTAATTGTAATTTTATTGCAAAGAACGTATACTATTCGTATTGAAGCAAATGTAATAAATGTTCAATGTTATGAATGATGTGAACACGATCTTCTACAAAGCTTTCTTATGTGTTACGTTATCGCCCTATGTGTCTCGTTTAACGGGTTGTTTACGTTTTGAACCCAAGGAAATTCTGGTATAACCAAGAATTGATTTCGTCCCCTAAACGGCTTCCGGTTACCTCACGTCATAATGTATGTCATTTTTAATATCACCGCTTTCTTTTTTATATTAGAAAATGACACGTCACATTAATATCAGAGTGTACATACAAAATTATTCTTGAATTTATCATACAGAAATTTAGTTACAGTTTGTTGGCGAACGTTCTGCTTAGAGTGAGTAGATCGTTGAATTAAATCACTGTGATTGCTCAAAATATTAAAATGGTCTACACATTATGAGGAACGCACTTGGGTCTTAGCTAGGTTTCTAATAATCTACAACTTACTACATAAATAAATATATCTGTAGTGGAGAAGTATGATGACAATTATCATAGAACACTAAGCCAAATAATCAATGATTAAACGTTGTGTAGCAACAGGGATCTGCATGTGTCGTCGTGACATCACAATCCAAGCCAACATTTCACAATGAATGATCACAAATACCACTAAGCATTAATGAGTTCGTTCGTTAATGTTCGTTTTTATCCTTTAGTGTCATTAAAAATACGGTTACATTTTTGAAGAATTACCCGGAATAGTTAGTATAATAATGTTTGTTCATTGTTTTTGATTGATTAGTATGATAAAAATAATAGTTAATATTATACATCTGTCACCTTAACGCCATAGATTACAGTGTGCCGTAATTTTGCGGTATTGCACTGGATACTTGCATCCCATCATATTTGGAAATGCGAATACCAAATATGG